GACTTTGGTGAAATGTATTACTGGAAATCAGTCAAACTCGAGTAGCCTTTAGTAGGAGTAGATGAATGGAAGAGTGGTTTGGATCTGAATTTTTCATTCAGATCAGTGGAAAACTCTTATTGATTTGAATGGGCCACAAACCGAGTGCATTAGGAAATCCTCTGAGCCCTTTCAAGAATTGCCTGGTTATTTTTGGAGGATTACCCAAGGTAGGGATGCTCTGGAGTGGCAGGACTTTAAACTTGTATGAGAATGTATCAGGTATTAATTAATGTCAATTATTCATGTATTTTAATAGAAACCATTTGTTTTACGTAACCTTTTGTAGAGAAATCTCATTATTATGCATGGTTGACTGTGCTTTTTCTATGGCTGTTTCACTTAGTTTTTTGAAATATGCATGAATGGTTTAATTTCATGTAAAAAATGTCTATGTATAAACCTAGGCAACTGTCAACAGAACTATTGTCTCTTCAGTGTGCTAGAAAAATAATTCACAACATGTGTGTACGGGGGTGTGATTGCCAGAGCCTGTTCACGGTGACAGGTGTTGGATGTTCATCTGCTAATTTCTCATTAGAAACAATGTGGTAGGTTGATGATGTAATTTGGTCATTGGAGGGCCTGTCTTGGTTTCTGTTTATAAAATATATGGCTATGTTTACCGAAATAGTTTAAAAAATAGTAGATGCGTTTTCAATTTTTTAAAATTTGTCATAGAAGTATTTTAAGATGAAAATATTTGTTTTCTCATTGCCAAGAAATATCTGTTATCAGTGATCTGTAATTAGGCTCACAGCTTAACATAAAGGATGAATGGTGCTCGCTGAGCTGCATCATTGGCCTTATTATGGTAAAATGACCAATTTTGTTTTACCAGCTGTGACTTTGGAGGCAGGCTGAATGACAGGGAACACATAAAGCTCGACAGATTAAAATATTTCCAGCACATAACTGTGTGTGTATCATTCAGAATTCAACAGCAGTTCTTGCTTGATAAGCTTGCTAATGTCTTCATGTTCTAAGGAACATTGTGCTCCTGTATGGGGTGTCTTGTACAGGCTCAATCCTGCAGTCCTCACTGAAGCAAAACTCCCAGTGAAAAACAGCATCAGTATGATCATGGAAAGCACTGAATACAAGGCTAGAAAAACTCCTCACAAGAGCAATGCATCTGCCTAAGGAAATAAAGCATGTAGTTCTGTGACTAATTATGAATTATAGAAAGAACTAAAGGAAAAAAAAAAGACACAAAGTTGGGACAGAAAAGGTTGATTACTCATCTTGTATCAAAAGAGGACATTTTCAAAAGACAAGCCCAATTATACCTGCTTTTTGCAATAATACTCATATCTATTTCTCACAATTTCCGTCACTTATAGTAGAAAATAAGACTATATTGTCTTTCAGCTTCTTGTATATGTGGCAAGGACGATTGAAAGGTTGCATACAGAGCATTCTAATTTTATACGAAAAGAGTAGAATAAGTTATGTCAGCAAGTTAACAAGAGGTAGCTTTTTAGTTTTTCTATGAATGTGTTCTGAGTATTGCAGAAACAGCCAGATGTTGGTGAAATGCAGTGATGTTGGCTGATGCAAGTATACAAAAGCCATAGAACTCCATGTGTTGGATTTAATGTAGTCTGGAATCACAAATGGCCCTAGTTTGATCTTTGAGCTGAAGTGGTGAGGCAAGTGTTGCTTCTCTGTGGTTTAGCATATGATAACGTATGTGAGTTGTTTTACCTTTTCTCTTTAATGTGATATTAATTGCAGGATATGAATTGCAGATATCTTAATGGATTATTAATTTCAAACTGCAAAAGACTTAGTGTGCTCACAAAAAAGCTTAAAGTGAGTTACCCTTGCATGTCTGGCTTTTTGTGTTATCCTAGAACTTGAGTTTGAGTCCTTACTGCAGAAATCCACCTCTGGAGGGGCCATGGAAGCAATGGTGTTTTCTGCTGTCACCATGAAACAGTTTGTGGTGTCTTAGGTAAAGTGAAGGTAGGAATCTGACCCTCTTATGCCATTTTCTGGAAATCCTTTATGGACATGACACCAGAAAAGGGTGAGCCGATTTTGTACTTTGTAGTTAAGTAACGTCTTTCATCAAGAGGAACCGATGTACTTTACAGATGCTAATGAATTAAGGTTCTGGTCACGTTTATCAGCTCAATTTTATAGATGGGGTACCTGAAGCATCAATTTAGTGACTTAACTACAGAGGACCACTAGTTCTATGTTTTTGCTACAAAGGTACTAAGAATAACATAGTATCTTCTGTCAACAAATGCAAAAGTATCAAGCTCAAGAAAACATCTGTAGAGTTATAGATTCCTTGGTTGTGTTGGTTTGGTACATGGCATGCTCAGCCACCTCTAAGAGAGTAGCTATCAGTGAGAGCTTAGTAGGTTAGTAATTTGTTGGACAAAACATGTTCCGTGTGGTTAAAAACATGACTTTCTCCATTAATCATTAACCCGCAAATGACTAAATGTATTTCCTGAATGACTTCTGCTCTGCTGGTCTGTTCATCCATGATGAAATCCCACCTGTTTCCATCATAACATCTGCAACTAATGTAAGTATCTCTGTGTCTTTTTTCAAAAAGTTCCTTTTGAGATTATTAATAATGCCTCCAAACCATATGCTTTTTGTAAGCACCGTTGTTACCACCATGGAAAGCCTTTAAGAACAGTGCGAATAGAAAAGACAAAACTATGTATTTCATGAATAGTAACTGAGCTTTTTTGAAAAAGCAAATTACTTTGTGGTGAAATTCAAAATTTCACAGCAAATATTCAGTAGACACTACTGGTATCATTTGAAAAAGAAATACACTATACTTCACAGCACAATAGAAGTTGGTCTTATCAGAATCCAAATTGTCAGATAGAATACCATTCCTGCAAAATAAAGACTAAAAATATGTGCTAACCCCATATGGCTGTCCCTTAAAGCTGTTTGCAGATTTCATGTATGTGGGATGTATGTGGACTGATAACCATTTTCATTATAGAGAAACAGGTTTTTAAAGTTTACCTTTATTTGATAGAGGGTTTTTTTCTGGGAGTATCTCTAGAAATACTTTCCTATGTTTTCTTTATGCTTGTAAAAATCAGATTCTGTGATGTGCATGAACATATAAGCCTGGTAAACGGAAGACAACCCTGAAATGTTATTGTCACTGAAAATAACCAATCTTTTTTTTTTTCCTAATGATAAATTTGATGTGATGCACATCTCAAACATTGTGGATTTCTTCACTTCATGAAGAAAATTGTGTTCCTCGAGTCTCCTGTAACGAAAAAAGTAATAACATATTAATCTCAGAAAACATGTCAGCCTGCAGTGAAATTAGATGACTGCATTTGTTTTGAATAAATACAGATGAACAAAAATGGTCCATCTATTATGAAGCCACATTATAATTTTTTTTTAAAACCATTTTGTTTGGATTTTTAAGGGTAATTGTTAAATGGAACTACTCTTTGAATGAATATGCGTGAAAAATTCAAGACTGCTAAGCAGATCAGCACTAATTTACGTTGTTTATGCTGTTCGCCTTTTTGTTTTGTGAGTTGTTTCCAAGCAGTGTCATGCTGTGGAATGTGGCCCTGGTATAAACGAGGTGATTCATGATACAATCCAGCATATTAGTGAGTGCTTCTGTTGTAGAATAAGTCTTATTGTGATTTTTTTTTTCCTGCCAGTTCAGTAATATGTGACCCTTTTCATTGAGCCCTCAAATGCAGCAAAAGACAAATCACTAGGGTTTCATAAAACACAAGTTTAATCTTAAAAAGTTCAATAGACTTCAGTACTTATCAAATCTTAAGTTGCAGAAGAAACCTCTGGAAGATAATATAGTATAATATAATATGTGATTCATGAACACTCCCTGCTATAGGTTGGTCCACTTAAATTTGAGCCGCTTAAATTTTGGTCCACTTAATATGATCTGTAGGCCTTGCTCTGCATGTTTATGTAATTTAACTGTAAGAGTAACAAGCAGAAAGGAAAGCAATTATATGCCAACTGACATGGAACGCATCAGAGTTTAAAAGATTATTCTTATGGAAGGCCGTCTTACTATGTAATGTAAAAATACTGTCTGCTAAATGTCACTTTAAAAATAACATTTGTTTTTAATAGTCTTAGAGTTTACAGTGTCATCCAAACTGAATACAGATTGAAAGCCGGACTGAAAATCCTACAGATTGTTGACAGTTTGGTAGTTCTTATGATGAAGATATCCATACTTAAAAAAGTTTTGGTCAGAGTCAGTGATCAGGGGTAAAGGGTTAAAGTGGTGTGATGGCTATGTTAATATTCCAGTTTCAGTTGATCCTTCCTGAGTCAGGCTGAACTGAAAGAGAAATGTTGGGAAGCGCACTGTCAGCTATACTGACTACCAGCTTCAAAGGTATTGACATAAAAGGAGAAGGACATGAAAAGAGGAGAACTGTCAGTCAATAAGTAGCAGCAAGAAAAACCCAACAGGCATCTGAAGGAGACACAGACAATTTGAACATTACTTTCTCAATCATTATTTTCTCCCTAGTGGAACCAGTATCATCTTTGTTGACTATTTGTGAGATAATTCCAGTAAACATTAACATTTTAAATCCCAAAACTTTGTATTTTTTCAGAAATCCTCCTCCTACTTTGCTCCATCCTGAAAAATGGTGCAGAGGATTCAACCATTTCATTTCACAGTGAGTTTTATTTTCTTTTAAAAACAGCTTATTCAGTAAGGCCTACGTGTGTGTCAATCTGAAAAGAGAATTTGTTTTATGGAGTTGTTGGTTTTGCAGGTTTTTAAGTTCAGTTTTCTTTTCATAGACTCTAGACCGTGCTTCACTTTTTGAAAGCTATACAGCACAGTTTGATCTTCTCATGTAATTTGCTTCACAGCTTCTCTGAACTCCTTACTTCATTTGCTTCTTGACTTTGATGGACCTGGGACAGGTTGATAAATATACTTGATTTCCTTGATGGTTTTGCAGTGTAATTTTGTGTCAAGGAGAAAAAAGGGTTAGTGAAAATGACTGCTGGTCAATTTAATGTAGGAATTTGAAAGACAGGAAAGAAAATAGTTGTCTTTTTCCACTTCACTAATATTCGGTAGGTTGTATACCCAGTATATGTAATTCAGCACCGGTTGTACCAAGAGTGTAATATGTTACCTAGATGGTACCAACTGGTACTGGATGTGGCTGTCACTGAACTAAAATATGCTTTTGCTTTGCTTTTTTCTTTTTACAGTGAAACTAAGAAATCACAATTTAGTAGTTGCTAGCATTATATTAAAAAATCTTACAGCAACTTTTATGAGTGATTTTTAGGGTTCTTCAGGATTTCATTGTGACCTATTACAGCCTAAACTGTGTAACATGGGGAGTAATATTATCAAACCTTTGGGAAGTTTACACTGTTCAAATAAGCAAATACTTTGAACACCACTCCTCAGTATTGACTTTTCAAGATAGGTTTGAAAATATGCACATCTGCATTTTGAATCTGTTCTGTTCCTTACTGTATCTAGTTACTTGTGGAGTACAATATCCCTACCTGATACCTTTTTCAGTCAGTTGTGTAGTGGTGTCTTCCCATTTTAGGAAAAGTTAAAAATAGAAAGACTAATGCAAATTTTATTAATAATCCATGAAAAATATTCTTATTTACTATGCTGATCTTTAATCAGGCAGGAAGGTGAGGTACACTGTAATGGTTGGCTTACAGAGGGAGACCATTACTATCATTACTGCAATGTAACTCAGAATCTCTTCCAGTGTAGGTAGTAGAAGTACATTCCTCTAGAGCAGATTGACCCAAGTTCTGCTTCTCCATAATGCATGTCCTTGTTTACACAGCAGTGTACATTGTGTTCTATGGTGAAATTAGTGTTTAATTACAAAAGTCACTGGGTGGTGGATGAATTCCGTTCTATTATAGAGAAACATTGTTTTTACAATATTTATGGACTGTAGCCTATATTCTGGGGGACTCTAGCACTGGTGGGTTATATTCCACTTGTGCTTTAGAGAGTCAGTGTACCTGGTAAATAAGATTACATTACTCTCAGAAACATTGTGCATTAACCTTCAGCATTGTTATACAGGTTTTTCTTTCTTGGTAGCTTCCTTTTTAGAAGTCCCTGCTGAGCTTGAGAACAATACAAAAACCTGAGTTTAACATTTCTTAACATTTGTTCAGTCCTTTAGTTCAGCATGCATTGTTCATAAAAGAAGTCAGACGTTATAGTTATGACTATACTTGTTTTTAATCTTGTCCTTTGGGTTTGTGATATCTTCAAATTGTATCTTTTTAATCACATTGATTTTTAATTACTTTTGCTTAATTACTTCCTCTCACCAGCAACATCTGCAGGTTCTCAAATGTTGCTTTTCATTTTTACAGTAATTCGCACAATGAGGTAAGGAAGTATGCTCATATGCAATCTCTTAACACGGAGAAACGCAACAATTGTAATAAATATGCTGGGTTTATAGCTACCTTTAAGAGAACACTGAAATGGAATTCTCTGTGACATTGCTTTGTTCTTGGGCATGTGTAAGTAAAGTTGTTATGATGCAGAGGTTACAAGATATTTTTTCTGAGGCTTGGATTTACATTAGTGGATTTTCTAGAAAAAATTAAATAACAAAACATTGGATCATACAACTGCAAACCTTTTAGCCATTACTGATAATTGGCTCATTTATATGTGTTAGTTATACATTTGTTCATGCCCACCTTGTGACAGCTTAGTTATGATAAATTAAAAGCAGTGATTGTATAAATTCCATACTGCCTTTTATCCATATGTTAGGACCTTGCCTGATGTTTCTGTCACCCTTGTGATGAGTGGTTAGCTTTCGAGTAATTTCATTATCTACCTCCTTCCTGATGGCTGACATCATTTGCATAACAAGCTTATCTGGTTCAAGTTGTGGGCCAGACCTGTGTACTGACAAAAACCGAGCATGCAGCTTTGGCTAAGCATACTTTTGACTTCAGTTCTGTTTATACAATAATTTTATTTATGCCAGGATTGCCAAACCTGGTCATTGTAGCTTTTTTCATCTCCCATTCTTATCTCTTGAAATGCCACTATCTCAAGAGGCATTTTTGTTATGAGTATTCTCTCACATATTATAGTGATTTACAACATGCCTGAGCTGGAAGTTTCAATGTAGTTTTGTAGGTAACTCTTTAAACTGTTAAAATAGTAATCATATATTTTTCAGAAATGAAGTCTGTATTTTTAACTATGATTCTACTGCCTCAAGAGATATGACATATGAATGGAGAGAGGGTCAAGATAGTTCTTAGCTTGGTGAATTTACGTTTCTATTCCCAGCATTGTTAACCTTGACTTGAGATGAAGACTGTCATATGTTGTCCTCATAAGGATTTTTACAGTGAGATAGCTAATCTGAGTTAGATATTCTGTTTTAAAAAAATACAGACAAGACAATTTCAGCCAAGCCATCTCTGGCAGCAGCCTAATTTTGTATTTGGTATCTTCTGAGATACCCGCAGCACATACATACTTTTAAAAGGTCAGTAAAATTCTATGTATGCCTATTTACCTGTACTACTGTAATTGTCCATGAAGAACTTGGCTGCTCGGCTCATAATGTGAGAAAATTAATTATCTGTTTATTTTTATCTGCATATTAATAGGGCTTACCATTCCTATAAGGCCATGTAAACAACCACATCAGTTGTTGGAGGATTGGCTCCTAAAAACAATATACTTTTACCTGTTTATTATGTTGAAATAACATAGTTTTGAAGAGAAATAACATAGTTTTGAAGACTTCACTCTATTCGTTGCCCATGGATGTTCAGGAAGCTTTTTTTTTTTTTTGGATAGCTACAGCATAAATGACACTGCTCTCTTAGGATAACAGTTTGTGTCCACCACCATTTTAGACATACAGTGCTTCAGAATTTGTTCATAAAATAATACAGGCTATATGTTAAAATTAATAAAAAAACCACATTCACTACAATTATCTCACATGCTGCAAATAATTTTCTTGGCAGTTTAAACCTTGACTGATAGGGTAGATGGGTAGGTAGAAGAGTTAATATGTTCTTGGAGCAGAAGGATACAATAAACTTTATTTACATTACATCACAAAATGGTAATTTTAATTAAAATGAGCAATGGTATCTCCAGGAACAGACATTCTTCTTTTAAATTTATTTAACCAATGATTAGCTATTATGGTTCTTTGAATTAATTACTCATTCTTGAGCTGGAGGGAATTAAAGAATTAAGAAATTCAGGAAGTACTAAAGTCAAAATGTGAAGTTACAGGATTTATGGTCACGTTTATCATCAGAATGTAACTTTTATTTTAGCAATGACAATGCAAATACAATACAAATATAATTTTTAGTCTTGATAAACTTAATTTTTTGTACTCAATTTGAACACAGCCTCGCAAGCTGAATTTCATATTGGTAAATCTACATTCAGAGTTATTCAATTAACAGATCATCTAGATTATATAGGTTTTAAGTGCTCCATTTATATTTAACTTCTCTGAATGCAGATCAAATTTTTTCACAATCTAAGCAGTTGTTTAGTGACATTCTATTCATATTACATAAAGAACATTTTACTGTTTCTGTCACTGAGAACATGATATGAGTTTGACATAACTCATTAATTTCACAGTGTCTAAGAAGACAAAGAGGTTTGCAAATGTCAGAAGGATACAATTTGCGATGTGTAAGGTTACCACCAAATCTGTAAGTTTTCACATTTTATTCATTGATGTAGACTCTGAGAATCTGTCTACAGATGAACTTGAAACACTAAATTGTAGTACCTGACAAAAAATCTCCACCACTTTTGAGTATTGCATGAGATGTTTTTATACAGATGAATGGGCATATATAATGGATACAATTATCTTCAGCTTTCTAATGAGCAGTTGTAGTAAAAAACTGCAATTTTAGGTAGAGGTGAAAAACTCCCATGCAAGTTTGAAGTCCTGACCCTGTAAAGAATTGTGCTAGATTTTACAAATGTCATAGTATCAAGATTTTTCACTCAGTTAAAGTACTGTTGAGTTCCTTACCATTAGTGATAAGCACTCATTCTTCCCTTGATTCCCATGGTTTGTGGGTTTATTGGCTTGCTATTCTCAATTATAAACACTAACAGTAGTAAGTATAGTGTAGTCAGAAAGATATGTATCCATGGTGGAGTGACAAGTCTATTTGAGAAGTATTGGCAATTCTAGGAATAGTATACTGCTTAGAAGATTATAGTATCAGAGCATGTGAAGTAATTGTCTGATGAGACAAAGTTTCCTTACTCCCTTCTTCAGGCTCCTATTGTCATTAAGTGCCAGTATTTTAGTTTCTCAAGTAATCTCTGCCTATTGCTCTTTCACTGGGATGGTTTTTAAGCTTAATTTGAAGCTTAGATGCTTCTGGAGCTCTAGCGTTATTACCATTTATTGGAAGGAAAGCCTTTTGTAATAGCTAATGTTTGCCATCTCTCTGCTTTACTTGAAAGGAAATGTAAAGGCAGGATGTTACCACCGGTTACTACATGGTTTTCATTTCCATAGTATTTGGTAAAAGTAAAGACTGAGCATGGCAGAAGACTGTAGTAAGACAGAAGTGGTAGGCATGAACACTAACATGCAGGGTGGGAAGGAAGGAAGATGGCAGGAGCGAAGACAAG